TATTTGATATAAAATTCATGAATTTCAGTTTGATATTGAGTATGCTAATGGGAAAATTGATATAGAAAATTCTTGCTAAAATTTAGAGTAAAAAAAACACGTATTTAAAAATAAAATTAAAACCATAAGTATCTGTTACAGAGATTAAAAAATTTTTTTTATTATACATTCATATCACACTATTTACCTTTTCATCTTTAATATTTTTCAAATTTAATAAAATGAATCTTTTATAGGATTGGAGTTATATGAATCATGATACATAGAATAGGCAGTAAATACGCCCATATAAATAAAAGGATTTCATTATTGGGTCAAAGCCTGATATGGGGGGCTAGTGATTATAGCATAACCATAATTAAAGGAGGGATGTGATAGGGATCTTTCCTTAAAAAATTTACCAGTTTTTTTAAATATCATTTTAAGATAATAAAATTTATTACCTCCCTTCCCCTACACTCTCTCCAAAATGCATTTTTAAATAGTTGTCATAAGTTCATTTCTATTTTGAAAATTTTTAGAAAAGAAATCATTTCTATTTATATATATTAATTTTAGTGTTTAGATACATCAAAATGAATAAGATTATAATAGAATTTAATTACTTTCTCGTTAGTATGTAGTAATAGGTTACCTCTTTTCTGGAATAGATGGTGATATTCGTGATCTGCGAAAAAATGGTCATGAAGCCTATAAGACTCTCTTTGGGAAAAATTGTTATTTTTTTCTTGTTTCTTTCCAAGTTGCCGACTAATCTTGTTTCAATGATATCTTCATCTCGTAATAGTAAGATTTCCCTATATTATTTTAATATAATATAAATATAATTAATTTATTGATGTGAGAGGTAAATTTAATTTCTACATATATGAATGACCTGAGAGGGATAAATTTTAAATCCCCAAAAAATTAGTTATCTACACAATTTATTTAGTTTAGTTAAAATTCGGCATTTTATCACCGTTATAAAGCAATCAAGTAAATACAAAGATAGAAAAATATATAGCTATTTTATATAGGTGTTACATATGGGTGATAAAAATTTGTTTGCATTTTAAACAATGCATTTATGAGAAAGTAAAAGTTAATAAATGTTTTTTGTTTTAAAAAAACCTTTTTAAAACAGATGTACTACTTGAATTTAAAACAACTGAGCTTTAGAAAAACTTAACGCTGAACACTCTTACTCAATTTGCAGGCAATACTATTTTCGTTATTTTGTCAAAATCATCGAATAATTTTTTTTTTTAAATTTCAAATAAAAATTATGATTTACTTGTGTAGACTTTGTGTCGTAGAATCCTGAATGTTGTAATAGCCTGGCTTTATTTTAATGTGGCACAAGTCTTTATAATATCTCACTATTTACGATCCAAGTTTAACAGATAAATATTTATTATAATATATAATGTCGAATTGGGATATGGAATTCATAGGGAATTCGGAATCACTTACTTTATAACATTTGCTTGGGGAAATTTTAAATTTGAAAAAATCTTATTTCAACGAAAAAGTATTCTAGCATGTCTAGAATATCTACTCTATATAATATAAATTTCACTATAACGAAAAAATCTGTATAAAACTAATATAAGTTAAAAGTATTTCAACTGTTCTAAGCAATCTGAAATTCACAGTGTTGGTACTATATATATGTTGTAATACATTTCCGGTCTAATCATATTTATCAGATTTAAAAATGCCTTGAGTAAATAATTTAGAATTGAGACACTCCGAATTCCCAATGCGACATATATGTATTGTAAAATATATAGCAAACCTTTTTTAGTAAAATTTCTAACTTCATCATAATTGAAATCTATTTTTTCCTTTAAGAATTCTAAAAAAAATAATTAAAACATATATATTTTTTAAAATCATCTAAGTATATTTTTTTCCCCTAAAGAATTCTAAATAAAATAATTAAAACATATTTTTTTAAATCCTCTAAAAATTTACTTTTTTTAGATTTCGTTATGGGGCAACGCACTAAATGGGTAATGATTGATTTGGTTTAAAACGAATGATATATATAAATTAGGAATCTTATATATATTATTTTCTTTAAAATAAATTACCATGTGAATAGACTTGGGACACAAAAATTATCATTAAAATACAGGTTAAAATATTCATCACAATATTTTTTTATAGAAAAATGAATCAATTATTGATATGAGAATCTACAAAATTTGCCAATCAAAGACTAATATTATTTTAACTGAGATTTTTTCTGAAGTTTTTGTATAAATATTTGTGTCAAATATTTATTTAAGCCTTAATGTTTTTTATGCGACAAAAATAAATTTCGAATAGAAGGGAGCTGGAAAATACAGGCTAAATGAAGAGCTCTCTTGTGTATACTTATGTAATCATTAAAAATAAAATATCCTGGATGTTTTATAAGTAAATTGTATAAGTAATATAATATTAGTTATATAAATATTCTAAATTTAAACTTGATAAAACTAGTTTGATAGGAATTTTTATAATTTATTTATTTATAAATTTGGTATAAAACAAGTTATTTATAGTAAATAATTAAAAAGATATAAGCATAAGGGTATCATGATATTCCTTAGGGGAGGTTACCCCTCTCTAATTCGATTGTATTTTTTGTAGGGTTATATTCTTTTATAAATATTTTGGTTTTATACATTCTTTAAATTATGCGCTTTACAATTATAGTCATTATTTAAATGATTAAATTAACACTTATTATTATGCTTAACTTCAACCTTTTTGACTACGTCTTAATGAGTATAATATATTAATATAACAAATATTATTACTACATGTATCAGCATAATTCATAGCAGGGGGCGGAATATACATACGAGATAGATAAAATAAAAGTAGCGTTTTAAAATCTTTATGTGTACAGACTCCAATATCCTCAGATATTTTTAGAATTTTATCAATTCATTCGTTTTTAGAAAATTTGGAACAAATATGCTAAAATTTAATAAGCCAACTCTCAAAAAAAAATTAAACAGACTAGATTTTTTCTAAAAAATTTCCTAATCCTAAATTATACACAAAACAGGCATACTCTTAAATGTTTATATAAATGTAATATTGAAATTCGAATCTCTCAATTTCCAAAACCCGACCCCGTTAGAATTTTTAAAAAAAATATTAGGCCCGGCCCATAGCCATTTTTAAATCAGAAAAATCTGATTCAACCAGAAATGTATTCCAACATGCATAGATTATGCACAACTGTTATTTTCATACAATTTTGCCTCGAAATTACTCTTAATTTGTATTCGTTTTTATATAGATTTTTCATAAATTAAAAAAAAATACACAAAGATAAAATTATCTAAATTTTATAGGGTAGGTATTCTACACATGTTGGAATGGTCAAATTAGATTTTTAAATGATAAAGAAGCGGTATCAGTAAATTATATTAAATAGGGAGGTTTTGATCCTATGAACTCCATATCACAATAGGACATGAATAAAATTATAGAATTAAATTAATACATAAATATAATTAATGAAATATATCTTATATCGATCCTCCATTTTTTGTACAACAGCTGACATTTTTGTACTAATCGAAAGTCAAAATTTTTTTTTGTAAAATTAAAGGCCATATTTTTACCAATTTTTTTTTTCAAGGACATAAAAGGTCCTTAACTATTAGGGTTAATGTGGCGAGAGATCGTTGTCTTGCACAAAGATCATATTTAATCTGGGTTTATAATGCTCTTTGAAATGATTGGCAGAAACTAGAGGCATGCAGGTGGTAAAATTATTTTTAGGCCCAACCTAACCTCAGTATGAAGATAATCATTTTCTTGATACCAATCCAAATTCGTTTTTATTCTTTGAGGAACATAATTTTAACAATATTTATAAAATCTTTTAATATTTTCAATTTAAAAAATTATCATCATCTTCGTTCGTGTTATAAAAAGTTTTTCTAATCAGATTTGTTTGATAACCTAAATGTTTTTAATATAATTTATGAGGGAAAAATTTTGAAAAAAAAAGCAACCAGCCAGCTATAATCTAACCGTAAACCTATATTAACATAGACTGCTCAACGATTAAAATAAACCTGTTGAAAATAATCAACATTTCAAAGAAATAACCTTTATTTTTATAAGTCTATGATTATAATGATTTTAAGGTCAAATATCTCATGTATTTATAAGATTTTTTTCATATTTTATTTAATATGCATATAAATTGCAAGATATAAATTTTTAAAATAATTAACTATTAATATTAGACAATTTTTATAATAATAATATATAACAAAAAGATTTCCGCAAAGATGAAGCATTTTTAAAAATTTAAGTGGGGCCAAATGATGTTTTATAACATTATATAATTGGGCGTTGTGCGTCTATATTAATTCTAAGACTATGAATCCAACATAATGAGAACCCATCTATATCTAGCCCGTTCTAAAAAAAATTTTTGAGGAATACAAATTAATTTTTTGTTAAATTTTAGCATTTTTAATCTCAATATTTTTAAAAAAGACTTGATCTGATAAAAAAAAATTTGAGGATATTATTACAAAGATCTTTTAATAAAATACAATACAAAAAAATGAGTGACGCATTCAAAAGTTATAATGTGACGTATTTTTTGAGTTATATGGGATTTATAGAACAAGATTTGAACAGTTATTCCAGAACATTCGAGGAGAAGTTATAGAAAATAATGATTTTTTTTGGATTCTCAGTCTTAGAAGTAATACGCTACTCTTCTTAATTTTGCACCCTATATGCACTTGATTTATTTATAAAAAATTTAATTATTCAGGAGATAAAGAATGTTACCCAAAACCAAATTTAAAAAAATTAACATAAATTGCAGGATTATGCAATCAGTAGTAGAGGAAACACTAGGGTTCATTAGGAAGAAATATGATTACCAAAAATGGCATGCCTCTAAAAGTTGGAACAATTTGAAGTCATTTTATTTATAATTGCATCTTATGTACAATTATGAATTGAGAATATTCTATTCATACAACGTATTCAATTTAAGATTTACAAATAAAAATATAATTAACTATTGGATTTTCTGGAGATAGACCCATCAACTTTTTTAAATGAGGGAGGGGATGTTCTCAACATCTCATAATAATATTGGTTCTTGAAGAATAATCGTAAAATGCCCCCCCCCCCTCCTCCATTTTTCCAGAATTTTACTCAACATACATAAGATATAATAGAATGTGGTATCTTCAGGCGATAAAAAAAATGGAAAATAAATAATGATTTTTGGTTTTAAAAACATAAAATAATGGCTGGGAATTGAAATATCTGTATAAAGTCTTTAAAATAAAAGATGAAGTAAGAACAAAATGCGATTACTATTTATTGTAAAGTATCTGACTAGATCACATGATCAATTTTTTTGTACAAAACACTTTTTTAAAAATTACAATAATTTCGTATTGTTTATGTATCCATGCAAATGAGTATGTAAAACAAATATATTAAGTTTGTCGTATATTATGCTCAAGAGTAAGAAAAAATCTTCAATCCAAACATATAAATAAAAAGCTTAAAAAAATATATATCCATTTTTTTAAATTATAGATTCTAGTGAACAATAAATATTTTGCTGCCAAGTAGAATTATAAGTCTGAGATTATTTCTAAAAAAATAAATGAAATATTGAATTCCTGAAAATAATATTTATCAGCTATCCAGATACCGATTCCTGGAATATCCAAATACTGGGTGTTTTATTTTGATTTGTCACCGTAAAATTTTTGCATTTCCTAAAAGAATTTTTTTTTAAAAAAATAATATAATCAAATTCAAATAATAATTTATCAATAATGTAATGATATTTTTATAACTATTCTTTCATAACTTTGTCCAAAAATTTTTTATCCCAATTGCAGAAAAATTGAGTAAAATTTTAAACTTTTAGAGAATATAGCAAACTGACTGACTAAAGATAAAATATAAATTGCGTTTTAAAAAAATATTTTCATATCATTCAGCAGGTACGCAATCATTAATATTTTTGCTTTTCGACTATAAATTTATATTATTCGATTTTTTTAAATTTACATGTTCCTGGTTGTAAAATTTTTAATTTGATTTTCATAAAATATTACAAATCGTTTTATATTTTTTTAATGTATAACAATGCATAGTATTTTATCTCATAAAATCAAATAATTTTAAAAAAATTATATAATCGCCATAAAACGCTCAACTTTTTATTTTTTCAAATACTCTTTCTACTGTATTATACAGTAGAAATTAGCATTGCCTGACGTTAATATTTTTATTCACCAGTTTTTTATTTTTATATCTACCATGTGGATTTCTACAATTTAGCTTAAGCGCCTAACTAAAATAAAAGTGCCAAATATGTGTTAACAATAATATATCACTACTATAGAAGAAAAAATGGTAATTTACTTTTTATTTTCCTTCAAAATTATATCATAAATATAGTATTTGTATTTATAAAGACAGAATAGCTTTACTCAAATTAAATACAGTGATATTTCGTTTAAAAAAATTTATTTTTGATATAGATCAAAAAATAACTTACACTATTCATAGCTGTTCCAAGGAACGACGGGTTAGGTGTAACGTGAACCCCAGCAGCTCTTAAAGCTTCTATTTTTGAGCTGGCACCGCCACTTTTACCCGAGGTTATAGCTCCAGCGTGCCCCATTCTACGTCCAGGCGGGGCTGTCAGACCCGCTATGAAAGAAACAACTGGCTTGCGATGTGCACCCTATTTATTACGAAGATATAATTGTATAGCCTTTATTTGAAGATATATAATATTTTATATTACATTGGTTTAAAAAAATAAAAAATAAATAAGTGACATTATACGCTAAAATTTTAAGATAAGGTCAGTTACAAAAAAGGTATATAATTTATTTTCTGTTTATATTACTGTAATTAAATGACAACCCATCGATATAACGTAGGGGTGTACCGATACCACTTTTTGGAGGCCGATCCGATCCGATATTCCAGATATTAAATTGATATCGGTAGATTACCGATCAGATATCATATCTAATTTTGTATTATGTAAAGATACCAATGATTTTAATTTTTAATATACTTTTTATTTGTATAACATCTATAATTCTACTATACCATAACATATGTCATTTAAATATATACAATGATCAGTTATAGTTTTTCAATTCAATTGCAATTCTAAAAGTATATAAAATATTTTTATTGATAAATTACTTATTTATATAATAAGTAATAACATTAATATATTTACATAATTAGTAATAAACAAATATATTATGAAATTTGAAATTAATATTTAAAATTAATATATCAAAGATTTCTTTTTAGAAATACCAAAATTTCCAATTTATCAGAGATCAGTCTGTGGTGATGGGGACTGTCAATATCACAAGCATCACTAAAAACAGAATGCGAAAAAAATAACTATATGGCAGAAGGTTTATTAACTAATTATTACTATTAAAAAAATTAAACATAAAAATGGATTTCGATTTTATTTATAAAAATAAATGGTTTTTTAGATATAACTTTTTTTAAAAATTTTATAATATTTTATTTTTGTTAAAAGCGCCATTTTTTATCAGATAGAAAAATTTTAAAATATTTGCCGATAACTGACATTTTACAATGAGTGAAATATAGGCCCGATCCGATCCGATATAAAATATTGGTACATCCCTAGATATAAGTGTTTAAAAAAATTAGCAAAATAATTAACATTTTTATGCTAAATAGCATTAGCGCCACCTAATTATGATATGATAATTATTGGCACTGGGATATATAGATATTCAATTTTTCAACATAGGTAACGTGTTGATTTTGAAAGCAAAAAAACTTACAAAAAGATTTGATGAATGAGTATGTTATAATGGGGTTAAAAGGGTACAATTACGCACAACAAAATAAATGATTGGATTTAATAAAATATATGATTCAAAAGTAATTTTTTAAAAAATAAGAAAAACCGTATTGTGTTTTTTGATATAATCAGCAGCTATTTCTTCCGCGTTTCCTCCTATTTCTCCTATCATTATAATTCCTTGAACAAGTTAATTTTAAAAAAATAAATAGATTAGGGGTAAATTTATAATATAATTAAACTAATAATCTCTTTAATGTGACTTTTAAAAATTCCACATTTTTTTCCTATAGCCACCTACCTTCATTGATATCTTTTATTTCCTGGCATGTTATCACTTCCCTATTAATCTTTCCTATAGATATATTTATTGATATCATATATATATATATGTGTGTGTCTCATTTCAATCAAAAAAAAGGAATGAAAGGCTCTGGAATTTCGACTTCCCAAATGTGATTTAACATATTCCTTCCTTTTCTTCATAAACTTTATATGTAATTCATCTTAATCTCAATAATTTTATCTTTTCTGGATTCTTTATCACAAACCTTTGGTATCGGGGTCCTTGAAGAATATCTCCAAGCAATCCACGAAATCTGTCCCATTGAACGGATCTCCGCCTATTCCCACACATAACGATTGTCCTAACCCAACCTGGGTAGTTTGTAAAACGGCTTCGTATGTGAGTGTGCCCGAACGGCTCACTATACCTTAATGACGCGTTTTATAAAGCGAAAAAAAAATGAATAAATCTTATATTTCAAAAACGTGCAAAACCAAGGTTCATAACCTATAATAAGTATAAATATTTGAGAATTTAAAATTTACCTATAACCCCAGGTTTGTGTATGTGACCAGGCATTATTCCTATTTTGCAAGCTCCGGGCTAAAATTTGTATATGAATTTTTTTTTAATAAATAAGGCAAAAATATTATGTTTTTTTTAAATAATAAATAAAATAAAAATAGGAGTTTGTAATGAAACATTTTTTTGAGATATAACGTAATTTAAAACCTTGATAATACCCGGACAGTTGGGCCCAACTAATCTAGATGAATTCTCAGTGGTTCTTTGTCTTCCTAACTTAGTCTTAATCCAGGCCATATCCTTTTGTGGTATACCTTTTTTAATATGTAAAATTTTAAAACAAGTACTAAGTATAATTTAAATCCACCAGTAACGAACTTAATATAAATAAAAGGTTATTATTATAGTAATGGTTGCGGCTAAACCGGTTTTCGTAATCCGGTCCGAAATTTTAGAAAAAATTTGAAAAAAATTTTGTCCGCCGATTCTAACCTAAATTTTTTTAAAATATATTTGAGTGCCAGTCCTATAATTAAAAATAATAAATAGATTCGCGAGTCCGCCTGACTCTTTTTCGGGTGGAATTAGGATGTACGCAAGTATAACAAATGAGAATATTAATAGTTCTATTATTTATTTTTTTAAAAAAATGAAATTTGATTGAATGAAGAATAAAGTAAATTTTGAGGAATTCTATTCAAAATGATAGGGAGAGGTGGTATATAAATGAAAAAACATTTAAGGGAAGTTTATTAAAAAAAGTAATGTTGTAAATGTTTCAAAATATAATTAATTCCCGACAAAAATCAAATTTTTTTCTCATTTTTTTTAAAATCATCAGATGACACCTGGAAATGGTATTTAAAATTATGTTTAGGGGATACTCAAAAAAATTTAAATTGAAAATTTTCGTTTTTATAAAGTATATATTTGTTTTGAAAACCAATCTATGTAAGAGTTCATCCGGCCGAAATTTGGTCAGGCAGACCGTTCCATAGTGGGCTCAAATACATAAATAAATATATATGTAGTAAATTAAATATGTATACAACTCAGAGACCCGCAAGCCCGGCACTAAGCTTAACCTGGATACATGGGCTGGACCATATTTTAATTTGTTTTAATATACCTGGGCCGGTCCTAAAAAACTTTTATTTAAATACCCAGACTGGGCCTAAAAAATTTTTTTTTAGAACCCGGGCCAGGCCATTATTAGCTATAAAAATTAATAATAAATAGAATATATTTTTAAAAAATCCGGGCTGAACCGAAATGGTACCTCTGCAGGTCTATAAATATATTTCCTCTCATCCTTAATCCTTTTATTATTTTCATAGGTAGTTTTTTTATTTTATAATCATGTGATTTGATTTAACCTTCAGTGATGCAAACTATAAGTTCAATGCCAGAATCCATAGCTTCTATTATAGCATCCCCTGCTCCAGCTGGAGGGACATATATTACAGTGGCATTAGCTCCAGTTTTTTCTTTAGCCTTTATGTAAGGGGTGGTGTAAATAATAAAAAAAACAATGTATATTTTAATATAATTAATCCCGTCAAAATAAAAAATTATTCATATTTTCTAGGGCTCTGCAGATCAAATATTGGATCATGGCCGATTTCAAAAAAATAAATTGGATTGGGCTAATATTTTTAAAATTATTATTATTTTTGGATAATTTATGATTGCAAATATAATTATGTATTGTTTTTTTATTTTATACATAATTCACTAATAATAATAAATGGAACCAAAATTCAATTTATTTGTAATGTTTTAAAAAAATATCAAATTATTTTTTTTAAAAAAAGGGTAGCTAAAATTATATTAATTTTTGTTATAAAATTTGCAACAAGAAAAATATTTAATAATAGTCATAAACTATAATATATTAGTATTTTTTATTGTATTAACATTTTATATTTTCATAGGAAGCCAAATTCTAATTATTATAAAGTATGTGTTAATATACTTTTGAATTGATGAAATAATAAATATATTAGTGATGATTTCTCAGTATATTAGATTTGATGATCTTTATTCAAATTTTACTGAGCAGTATCATCAATATTCTTAGTGAGAATAAATAAGATATAAGAGATTATTTTAGCAATAGGGTATGACTAAATGATTTTTAGTCAAATAAATTGGAAAAGTATGAAATTAATTATGATTTATAAGATATTTTAAGTGTTAATTGGAAAAAGTTCTTTCATTTAAAATTTTTTTTTAAGAAAGTGTTGGAATTATAAGATTTGCTCTTGTCCTATTTTGGATGAATATATTGAAATATAGTAAAGCAAGATCTTCAACAAAAATTAAATAATCTCACATTTAAGGAAATTAAGAAAATTTGCATAAAAAATGTATAAACTTAACAAAACATTTTTGCCACTAGTATTAGATTTCAATAGCATAAAGGGTGGAAGGAGAACCTTTAATGAAATATGAGCGTACTTCACTGGAAGAACAATGTCACTGGGAAAAGGATGTGAATGAATGCTGTTAAAGTAGCTATTAAAAGTAACACTATATTTTTGAGTAGCGAACAGTATCTATGCTATTTTTATAAAAAGGCATCGAATTAATAGTGCTGCTATTTTTTGAGTGGCTATAGCTAAACATTAGCTACGTATTTAGCTATTTAAAAAAAAAATTAAATGAATATTTAAAGCTTACCAACTTATTCCTCCCTCATGTCTTGAGATAGCATGTGAGGAGAGCTCCTGCTGTATCAGAAGTATGGGAGAAAGATGGGTTCATAAGGATCAAACTACAAGAACAAAACAGCCAATGACAATTGATGACAAAAATGAGAGCATTTCAAATTTCTAAATTGACAATATTTATGCAGGCAGACATCTTAGCATTTTGAGAATTTACAGTTTCAATGTTTACTATATACTAGCAATGAGGGAAGAGATTTTCATACTTGACTAGTGTTGTTAAACGGCTCGTTTTGAGCCGATTTCTAAAGACGGCTAACTCAATATTCCATCCAGAAAAATATTACGCAAACCTGAAGATTTTGCTCATAGAAGGAACAAAGGTCTAGACATATATTGATGAAATCTCGAGGTTTAGGCATAATTTTTCTGGCTAAAATATTGAGTTAGCCGTTTTAAAAAATCAGCTCAAAATGAGCCATTTAACAACACTATACTTGACTCTGCACATATGGATGAGCTGTCATAGGGTCATTTTTATACAGCAAATTACTGGCCTCTAGATAGATCAAGTAAAGTGAGATTTCAAAATGTTCTCAGATATTGTACCAACTGGATAGCCAAGTTAATGTATGAATGTTCAAATCATAAGTTCTTGAAAAATTGCCATACTGAAAAATTGCATGGAAGATGTCGTTAAGAAATCAAATCTAGGGATGTACATTAGGTTAAAGCCCTTGAGACTGGACTAACTAGTCTAGGCTTTCTAAAAGATCAATGGCATGTTGCGCTGAAGAATAGAAGGACTAATAAGAGAGAACAGATACACCACTTTGCTAGATGAAAACTTTGAGGGATATCTTTACTAAATGGCAAATACAAAATATACTAATTTAATTATACATAACCAAAAGTTTATTATAAAAATTTTATTATGTTATATTATTATAATTCATATTGGAATAAAAATTATATTTATGATTATAAAAAAATATATAATTGGGGTTACAATATTTTATTTATCTGCTCATACTTAAGGAAAATTCAGACTTAATTTTAAAAATAGATACAAAAATAGCTAGGCTACATTTAGAGCATTTATTTGAGAAGGTAACTAATTAGTAAAAAGCTATTTTTCCGAGAAAGTAACTAAGCAGGAAAGTAGTTGTAGCTATAGTCAGCCACCTTTTTAAAGTAGCTTTTACCAGCATTAATGTGAATGTTGACAAAACATTGAGGGAACAATTAATGTGTGGCATGGCCTAACTGAGGGGATTTCTGGGGTGTATAAAGAAGGGAAATATGTTACTTTCATACAGAGTTTGAAAAAAAATATATAAAAAATGGTTGACAAGATTTTTTGGGAAAATTTTATCAAAATTTTGTTCTTTAAAAAAAAAATCTTTTGTTTTTTTTTCAATCTCTGCTTTCAGATTTAATTTCAATCTTACACGCATTGGAGAGTCAATGAAGAAACGTTAAGATTCTGAGAAATCACTATATACTTAATATTTCATTAAATCAAAAGATAATTAATTAATCTTGATCACAGTAATAAAATTTTAAAATACCTCATAAACAGTATCAAAAACAGGAAGATTTAAATGAGTGGTTCCACCTTTACCAGGAGAAATCCCACCAACTAATTTAGTCCCATATTCTAATGCTTGTTTGGAATGAAACGTGCCCTGTTTTATATTAAATAAATATTTGAACAATTAAGAAAGTAAACTTGTTTTCCAGTAAAACCTTGGCATATTAACTTTGTGTTATTATTAATATTAAGATGAGATCTGGTAGATGTATATTGATTACGATACAATAGTGGTAAATGCTTAATAAGCTCTTCAATAAAAGTCTTGAAAATCAGTAGCTAAATATAAATTTTACTTGTTAAATTTAAGGAATTATTCATAAAGAATCGTATTTATCCTGTGCCCATTATAAAATATAGTGACATGAATGTGAAAGAATGCCAATCAATCCTTAGACATAAAGTAAAAGAAATATTTATTCAAAAACAAATACGAATCGAATAGTGTAGAATAGTTTAGAATAGTGCATTATTCCTATTCGATTCGCTATTTAAAAATTTTTACAAATGGAAAATAATGTATATTGTCTCCTTGTGAAAATATAACATTAAATAAAATTCTAAAATCTAACTCTATAATTTAAGAATAGAGAGACATGCAACGACTTCGGAACAGATGTAAATTATATATATATAATATACATATAAATAAACCCATGCATGAAAATTCTGTATAAAAACAATCCAGAGGAAATATATTTGAAATGTTTATACTATTATCATATGATATAATATTCATTTAGGTAAAGAGCACATAATCCTAAATTGATTTTATGCATCTAATGGCACAAAATTCTTGCATACCTAAAAAACATTGTTTCTACTAATTAAGTATTAATTCCAATCTTCCTTACCATAATTTTTATGATTGTTCACCAATCCAAATCTATTTTATCTTGATCATATCATCCACTAAATTTGCGGCATCTCCTGTGTTCAAGAATATATTTATATCAAAAAATTGCTCTAAAAGTATTATATATACTACGCATTTGTTTGTAGATGAACCATTTTGTGATTAAAAGGAAATAATCTAAGTTTAAAAAAACTCGTAATTACATGGAAATTTGGCCCTAGAAAAACTTACTCACAGAAATGTGGTACCCAGAAAAATCAGCCTACCGAAATTTGGCCCCAATAAATTTGATCTCCTAAAAATTTGGTCCCCGGATAATTGGCTTCCAACTTTTTTAATACTTTTTTATCCAAAAGTAATTAAAATATGAAATATAACTCATAAATAAATATTTATTTTCGATCATGGCGTATTGATATTTGGTGGAAATGCGCTATATAGTGTAAATTCATATGCAAAATTAATCGAATCCACAATGTTAGAAATTAAAAAACTTATTTTGAATAACACGAATGTCCATTTCTGATAAAAACAGACATGCGATATTAAAATCTTTGATAAATTTGAAAAGTGAGTGGCAGATACTATTAGGAAGCCTCTCCAAATATTTGCTGAAGATGTTCCTAAATTGTGCAAAAATATTATATACTATGGTATCAGATTAATTAGTCGAAAGAACTCTGAGAACTAAATTTGAGCAACATCTATTCCTGAATATTGCAAAATTCCATTTAATCGTTAACAAAATAAAAATGTGTAAATAGTGGCTAACTTATATAGGCGATTGACTGTCCTGTCTATACTGGGTTTTTTAAAATATTTATTATGCAAAAAATATATTTTCAGCATTTTTACACTAAAAAAAACATACAATGTTAAAAACATTTTGTTAATACTAGTGTTGTTTATAGCACGATTTTTAAAAACCGCGAGTCTAATATTTTTAGGAAAAAACATTAAGCAAGCATAAAGATTTGCTCGTTTTCAGAAAGGTTTGGAAATCTATTAACGAAATCTCGAACCTAGCGTATTATTATTTTGGCTGAAATCTTAATTTGAAATTGATTATTACGAGTCGTTTCGTTTAACAAAACTGGTTGATACTAATTATATATTTAGTTAATACCTCATAAAATTTGCAGTTTATTGATATATGTATAATAGTTGCTTTTAATAATAAATTTATTGAAAATAATTTTGAGATATTATAGAATAATTGAATAAATATTATACATTCTACAGAAATTTGCGAATTAAAGCCCAGCAGGTGTATTAGCCGAGCCGTATAAATTTTTTTAAAATAAATCCGTTGGGCCTAAAAATAATTTTTTTAGCAACCCGAGTAGGGCAGAAGATTTTTTTTATCAATCCCTGACATGACCGAATATTTTAAAACTGGAGTATTATCATATATAATAGAAAATATATTATTTAATTTAATGATATTTATACCTCTCATTAATTAATTTAGGAGAATAATTTATAATTTTTATTTTAATCAAAAATTAAGAAAAATAATAGAGAGAAAGAAGAAATCATTACTATTTAAAATTACAATATAAATATATTAACCAAATGCCAAAATATTCCGGTTAATTTTTTATATAGATTAATTATTAAATTTCATAAATGATTAGAATATAACTTACAAACTCAGCCACATTGTTTAAATTTTTTCTATACTTTAATGTACTAGGAATAAACGAATTGGTTATTAATTTAGAAATATTGTTTTTTATTTTTAGTCAATCAAACATATAACATTACAAAAAATAGATTTCGCCAAAAATAAACACTAATGCACCTTTTTTTCTTTGTATTAAATGAAAAATAATCTCCATTTAAGACAGTTCTAGTAGTGTAACATATTAGCTGAAGAACGAACCACAAAATGCCGAATTGGCATACTTTATAAAATGTTATACACCCAATAATACTGGCATGACCTTCCTATATAAAATCCGCACCGCACGGGGCCAATTTTAAATAAAATCAGGACGGGCCGTGCCATTTGTGCCTTTACGGTCTATGATATTTGAAATCCCCATAAAATTTGCTGTTTAAATGCATATATTGATATATATAATATTTAGTTTTCAAAAAAACTAATTTAAAATATTTAAGAAAATATAAAAATTTTCTATATATCTAGAATCTTCTTAAATTTTTTTTGAAAAAAATGAATATATTTTAAAATGTAAATTATATACTGTCATATTGGGAAATAGGATCCATATAGATTCGGGATATCGCGACTTTAAATATTTTACCAATGATGATTTATAAATTTTTTAAAATTTAACTAGAAATGTTTTCCAGCAGGCGTAGAGCTACAATCCTATTGATTTTAGAAAACTTTCGCCATAAATCTTCGATATTTTTCTAATTTACATTTTTAAAAAATGTCATAAAAATTAATATTTATCGTAGCTGGAGAATTATGTTATTCCATATCCAATTATTGTCAAAAATCACTTTTTTACATATATAAATATTTTATAATTACACATACAAATAAATCCGAAATATTTAAAAAATAAATCAAATTATAGCCAATATAAGGTAAACATCCTATTAAAAACAACAGGAACTTGATTTTTAAAATTACTATCCTGTAAAATTTCAAAAAGTGGAGATAATCTAATTTTCAGATTGAGAATAGTTCTAAAATTCATGGCACAATTATTTGAAATTCGTGTGAATACTACTCTAAAAATCACCCGAAGGATTAGGATCATTTGAAAAAATCTTTAGTTTATGACCTATTGATTCAAATAAACTTTCAATTATCCTAATAAATTAGAAATAAAAAGGGCCATATCAGTCTGAAAAAAAATTCTGTATATATTTATTTATTCTGTGTTCTCAATACAATCAATCTATAAGATAGATATTTAATGTTGAAGAAAAAATGATAACACATTAGTGATCACACGTGAATCCTCTCCCTATATGGCAGAAAATCATATAGTGGCCGCCCATATAAGGCATGAGTTAACTGAAATACCTATTGATTCAATTAATTTAGCAATCCGGCTTTATCTAAGGTTTTAGTTAGTAATGTATTAATTGTTCCATCCCACGAGACATGGGCTGTAGAATAAGAGCAAGAAAGGCAATGTTTACCTTTCTACTAATAAGGAGGATCTAACGCTCTAGTGTTCAGGGTAACCTAAACTTAGATCTATTGGACTCTTACTTCTTTAATACTTAATAACAATCCTACCCTATTGAGTAAAGTATCAAGCCAATGATGACCATTTTTGAAATTTTGAGCGAATAAAATTATATTGTATAAATATTTGAATCATGGATAAATATTCTATATCATCAATTTTATTTGTATTTTTATAAAATATCATATTGTGGGATTTAAAATAATGTCACGGTCTTACAAAAAAATTTGCCAGTTGGAAAAACTGTTATAAAATTATAAAATAATAAAATGTTAAGTAATACTTACAATCATTATAGCTTATTTTATGTTTAAAATATAAATGCTTTCAATTTATTTATCATGAGAGATATAGCGTATTTAATTAGGATTAATCCAACCTTGTTTCACGTTATTTTTTCCATAAATTTTTTTTTGACACTGCGTTTAAACAAAGAAATTTTTTAAAAAATATTCGGCAATTTCCAAAACTTGTTTTTATAACATCAAAGAAATAGGCCCGGAGTAAGAAAATACTGCAGAAACCTCCATTTTATTTTTCAAAGGCAAATTTTACATAAATATTAGCTTAAAGCGAATTAAGATAATTGAATTAAGGCTTTCACAACTTTGTAATTAGTCTTCTTTGGTCTTAAGAGTAGCCAAATTTGTAAATACCGAATTTAATTTTTAAAAAGAGGCCAAAAATATAAAATTAATTAACAAAGTTTATAATGTATGAGGCTTTACAAATAAAAACAGCTGAAGAACATTAATAACAATCAATGACTACATAATTAGCCTTCGCTATATTTTTTATTATTGTTACAATAATGATCGAATATGTCTTAATTTAAAGATTTATTTTTATATTAATAAAACATAATTCTGAAATCCAAAAAATCTTTTAATGGTTTAAAAAAATACATTAACACGTAATTTTTTTTATAAAATGAAAATTAAAATAATTAAAATTTACAATTTGATTCATTCTGACATTTATTACTATCAATCAAAGATTATTATAAAAAATGTTTTTTGTTTAGCATGATTTGAACACTATAGATCATGATATGATGCCAACAATAAAATTAAAATGAGCTTGCTAATCGATATTAGATTGCTTTTCAAATTTAATTTTTTAGATTTTGATTTTTTTAAAATATATTTATTATCCTAGCAAATTGCTCCTCCAATTGAGGATAGGTAGAGAGAAACATCTGGTATGAAAATGGGGATATAGGTATGCTGGAGATGGGAGGATAGGACAAATAATTGCATTTTAGCATTTTATCCCTTTTTTTAAAACTCATCAAGGTTCTATATAACTCGTTAAAAATATCATG